GGTGTGAAAGGTGGTGTCTTTCATGGTGTTCAAACGGCTGAGCTAGAAGTCGGCACAGATGTAAGTGTCATTCTCTGTAAAAAGAGAGATCATCAAATGAAGGAGATAAAGGATATTAAACTTCTTGTTTATACTAGAAACATACATTCACATACATAGAAATTGCAAGGGAAGAGACAACCAGTGGAATCCACATTTATTGAGAGTCTACTATGGGGCAGGCATTCTGCTGGGCACACCACATATTATCTCATTTAATACTTTAATTTTATGAGGTAGATGCTATTTTGGCATTTTACAGATAATAAAACAAGACCAGAGAATTTCAGTAAACTCTCCAAGACTACACAGCTCAGAGGTAGAAGGGCTGGGTTTCAAGCTTAAGTTTATCTCCAAAATCCACATTCTTTCTGTCATGCCATGTTGGCTGATGTGGAGGTAAATAACACAACTCAATAATTATGAGGGACTCTAAATGGGAATTAGCCCTGTGGTATTTAACCGGTTCAGTATTTATGGTCTTTTCTGCAATGTGGTGAAAATATAATGGGAAACACCATGAAATCAACTTGGGGACCCTCAGTCAATCAAGGTTTTTCTGCTCTTGGACACGAGAAAGGTACCCCCTCCCAACAAAATGTTGATATCAGGGATTAGGTTCCCCCAAACACTTCTGAGGCCGCCACTTGGGGTGACTCCCGGTCTCCTCTGCTCCTATACCTGCCATCTTCACTGACGTTCAATACACCAGCTCCACGGTGCCAAGAGGTGCACGGATTTCCAAGAAGAACATACAATTTAGAAAAGGATTGTTGTTAATGAAAGCTGAAGACTTCGTATTTCCTGCTCAGTAAACAAAAAAAGATTTTTGTATTTATATAAGATAACCTATCTGCTTCTCCCTACTCCCAAAGAATGAGATTAATTTATCACTCAAATGCCACATGGTTGCCTGGCAAGGTTAGAAGTGTTAGGATTGAGAATCTCTCAAAAAGGAAGGTCACTTGACCCAGAGGACACACAGAAGAGAGGAGGAGTGAGCAGGGCAGGAGAAGGGACGGAAACTGACTCTCTCACTGGAAGGAGGACCGAAATGCTTTTTACAGGGACAAGATACTACTCTTTGCCTATCAGATTGGTACATAAGATTGCTTGAGGTGAGTTTTGGTAGGGCCAAGGGATATGGGCACTCGCATACACTATTGGTGGGAGTGAATTAATATAGCCTTTTGGAAGGTAATTGGGAGTATGTGTGAGAAGAGTATGGTGTAAGTCAGTGAGTCTCAAACTTTAGCATGCATGAGAATGACCTGGAGGTTCATTAACACACAAATCGCTGGGCGGACCCCCAGGGTTTCTGATTCAGTGGTATGGGGGGGATTCTGAGAATTTGCGTTTCTAACAAGTTCCCAGATGATGCTGATACTGCTGGTCCAGGGAGTATTTTGAGAACCACTGGTACAAACGGTTAGGAATTTGGCTCTGATGCTTATCAGCTGTGTGACTTATACAAGTTACTTAACCTCTCTGTCTCAGTTTTGTTTTTCATTTATTAAAAACTGGGATACTAATGGTGCCCATCTCATTCAGTTGTTGTGAGAATTTAATGAGTTAGTATGTGTAAAGTGCATATAGGAAAGGCTCGGTAAATGTTAGATCAACAAATGTTATCATAATTTAAAAAGCTCATTCCTTTTGACTTGACAATCCTGTGTCTAAGTATATATCGTAAGAGAAATATTTACCTTACAACTTAGATGAAATAAATCAATTGGAAAATACAGCTTAACAAAACTGACTCAAGAAGAAATAGAAAATCTGCATAGCTCTATAGCCTTTAAAGTAATCGAATTTATAATGAAAATGTTTCTCATAAAGAAAACTCCAAGCCCAGAAGGCCTCGCTGGTGTCTTCTACCAAATATTTAAGGAAGAAATAATACAAGTACTGCACAAACTCTTTCAGATAATGAAGGAAGAGAAAACATTTTCCAAGTCATTTTATGACTCCTGCATAACCCTAATACCAAACCTGACAAGAATATCCCAGGAAAATTATAGACCAGTATTCTTCATGAATATAGATACAAAAATCCCTAGCAAAATATTAGTAGATCAAAACCAGCAAATTAGAAAAATGATAATACATCATGGCCAAAATCTGTATTAGCTTCCTATGGTTGCTGTAACAAATTACTACGAACTTGGTGGCTTACAACAGCAGAACTCTATTCTCTTTCAGTTCTGGATGCCAGAAGTCTGAAATGAAGGTGCCAGCAAGGCCACACTCCCTCCAGAGGCTCTAGAGGAGAATTTGTTCCTTGCCTCTTCTAGCTTCTGGTGGCTGACAGCATCCCTTGACTTGTGGCTGCATCATTCCAATCTCTGCATCTTCACATTGCCTTCTCTTCTGTGTTTATCCCAGGAAGGCAAGGATGTTTTAACATTCAAAAAAATCAATCAGTGTAGCTCGTGATGTCTGCACCCTATACAATTCCCCTCACTTGAGCAGGACTTGTCAATATGATGGAATAGTCACATCTGTGATTACATTATATTCCATAAAACTCCATTGTAGCAGACTAGAGAAAAATTTTCCTGATGGCCTTGAAGAAGCCAACTACCATGTTAGGAGATGGCCACATGGCAAGCTACAGTGGGCAGCCTTTAGGAGCTGAGAATGGACCTCCACTGACAGCAAACAAGTCCTACACCCACAGGAGCTGAATTCTACCAACAACTAGTGATCTTGGAAGAGGACCCCAAGTCTTAGATGAGATCGAAGTTCCAGTTACCACCTTGAAATCTGATGAGACACTGAACAGAGGACTCAGTCAACCCATGACTACACTTCTGACCCACAGAAACTGAGATAATAAATTTGTGTGGTTTTAAGTAAAAAAACCCCCAAAACAAAAAAAAACCAATCAATGTAATTCATCCCATTAACAGCATAAAAGAGAAAAATGATCATTTCATATGCAGAAAAGGCATTTAATGAAATTCAGCAGCTGTTCATGATTAAAACTCTTGTCAGAATAGGAACAGAAGGAAATTTCCTCCATTTGATAAAGGACATCTATGAAAAACCTTTATCTAACACCATAGCCAATGGTGAAATACGGAATACTTTCTAAGATTGAGAATGTTGCAAGGTGTTCGTTCACACTAGTTCTATTCCACATTGTATTAGAAGTACCAGCCCATGCATTTAGGCAAGAGAAAGAAATAAAAGTTATTCAGATTGGAAAGGAAAAAGTACTACTGTCTTTATTCACAGATGACATGATCGTATATATAGAAAATCTAAAGGAATTCTCTCCCATCAAAAAGAAAAAAGCTACTAGAACAGTGAATTTGGCAAGGTTGTGGGAGATAAAGGCAATATGCAAAAATAAGTTGTATTTCTACATACTAGCAACAAATAATTAGAAAATGAAATTTTAAAAGTGCCATCTGCACTAGCATCGACAGCTAGGTAAGATGTGTAGATCTCTCCACTGAAATTTGCAAAATATTGCTAAGAAATATTAAAGAATGTGCTAAATACATTTTAATGTTTAAGTCAATATTTTCATTTCTTTTCCATATATTTTATTCTCTCATTTAGATCAAATTTCCCTATTAGGTTTGTGTGTTGCTTGGCCAAGCTGGCTTTCTACTGGCTGCCAGACAAAATGACTCTATGCGAGGCTTTAAAATGCCTACTCTGGGCAGCCAAAAGGAAGATGGCTTCTAAAGAAGATTGGCAAGCATGGCTAACTTAGTTCAATTTTTTCTTCAAATGCAATTTTTTTTCCTGCTTTTTTCTCCCCAATCCCCAAAGCACATAGTTGTAGATTTTTAGTTGTGGGTCCTTCTAGTTGTTGTATGTGGGATGCTGCCTCAACGTGGCCTGACGAGTGGTGCCCTGTCCGTGCCCGGGATCCAAACCAGTGAAACCCTGGGCCACCGAAGCAGAACACGTGAACTTAACCACTCAGCCACTAGGCCGACCCCTCAAATGCAATTTGAATCGTTTGCTCCTCTGGGGTGATATTTTATTATAACTGCAGCCAAAAATGTAAGAAATGAACCTATTTTAAGAAATATCTATTTCTGGCATTTTCATTACTCATGGAACAAAATGACATTCGTTCCTCTTTGTCTATATACAAATAAGGCATATTAAATGATCCAGGAATTCTATGCCAGTGTACAAAAGCGATGTTAATGACTTGCCGTATTAATTGTCTGCTCTGTGTTGGGCACCACGTCAGGTGCTGAAAGTGCAGGAGGAATAAAACCTGGGACTGTCCACAAAGAACTTACAGTCGGCTCGGGAGACAGATCTGCACTTGCAAGCTAGTTTCCCAGGAGTTGGTAAGGGGTGCGCGCAGTCATCCACTTTCTCTTGCCCAGGCGGCCAGTTAGACAGGCAGCTGCAATCAAAGAGCGGTTTTCTAAGAGAAGCTCTACCTTACAAACAGCACAGTATTAAGCCGCAATCTGTGCCGAGCAGGGAGGCAGTGGGACGCAATAGTGCACCATCTATTTTAAATAGAAATGCAAGTTTTGTTTTTATGTCACTGAAACATTTCAATTCACTCCATGATGCCTTTGACCACTGGAGTGACCAGCGAAGCTTCCTCAAGGAGAAGGGGCAGCCAGGTACAACGGAACGTTCTTATAAAAGGAGAAACTCCCAATGCCACTCTACCCACAAAAGGCTGCCTGTTTTTTTCTAAAACATCCTTGTAATTTTCATTTTTAAAAAGAGGATGTTTTCCGTGGAGATGTTTTAAAAGCTGTAATTTTGCTTCTGAGGTGTCTGCAAGCCTTGCCTCTGTGGTTTTGTGACATCATGAGCATCCTGAATAAAATGACACATTGCAGCTCACAGGGAGACTGCATCTCCGCAGGACAAGCGGAATCTGAAAAGCTTCTAGGCACACAGATAAAATGTTAGCACTAAAACTTATAACCAGAGTTTTTCTATAACTAAAAAAACCCACACAGAAACAAAGTCAATTAAGTTTTATTACAACCAGGAATATAAAATAAATGCAATGTAATTTATTTTAGTCTTAACAGTCATTTCAAGAAGGATGTCAGGACAACTCAAAAGCGGGAAGCACTCCGCTCCAAAGCTGCAGCTCGTCCTGCGCCCCCAGAGCAGCCTCGCCCGGGCGCAGCCGGCTCAGCGCATACCTCGCAGTGGAGTCTGGAAAGCACACACAGTCGTCTCTATAATCATAGAAAGAGGGATGCGTGCAGAAAATGACTGAGAAAAGAGACAAGGACAGGTACACTTCACAAATAGGAATTATGGGAAATACAAACTAGGCAGTTTAGAAAGGCTATACTACATAACATATATAAAAAGTACTTTAAATTGTTGTTAAAAAGGACATCTTCGGTCCAGATTTTGTGTAATACTTTTAGTGTCTACACAGACAGATCTTTAAAAAAATTAAATAGTATTAATTTACTAAATATTTAGGAGATAACAGTGCATTAAGGACTTTTTTCATATAATACATACATATCACTCCTTTGCAGTGATAGCATAGAATAGTAAGTATGGCCTTAGGTACAACACATTTTTAAAAAATCCTAAAACAATGAACTTCACTTTATGAGATTTGTGACTATTCTTGAAGATTATGGGGACCTAAACTGCTATGTTTTATATAAGACATTACTTATACTTGACTCCTTCAAGCCTCCTTTAGTCTAACTGCCATCTTACTGCCTTTCTCCATTCCCTAGGAAGATAACACCATAGAGTTTAGGATTTGCAATTTTCATAGAATTCTTCCTTCATTGTAGAGTTTCTGCTACATAAATTTATTCAAAGCAGAGTAAGTGGCAAGCCTTATTGCCCAACTCTTCTTTTCTTTTCTTTTACCTTTAGCAGAGAAAACAGCATCATCTTAGAGGTGTACAACTAGCAGTTGTTTCACCAGGAATGAGGCAGTGAACTCATAGGTAAATGTCATCCCGTTCCATTCTTAAATGTAAATTGTTTACAAGAGCAAGAGAGTAATGCAGAAGGCCAAAATTCTAAGTACTAAAGTTTTAAAACCACACAGATATAAAAATATACAAGTCCTTGGTTTTTGTATGTTACTGCATGATCTACTTCATCACAAGGATTGTTTCAGCCTCGCAGTATCAGCCCTGCTGCCGGGCGACCTTACTGTTGAGCCCAGCTGTCCTGAAATTCTAGAACCCCTTTTCCCAAACTCACACCTCACCAGAAAGCTGACTTGAACACTGACTTGTAATATGGAGAGCAGACAACCTTCACTAGATCCCTTCCTTCAATACCTCTCCTGGTTTGGGTGTTTCCATACGCTGAGGGACGTCCCCCTGGCATTCTCAAGGGACATGACAGTAATAAGCTTTCAAAGAGGAATGTGACCATTTGGGGGCCAAAAAGGTAAATGTTAACCTCAAAAAGCTTCACAGGTCTCCTTTGAGGTCCCACAGTTTTAGGGCTCGTAGGTGTATTAAAGGCTTTGTTCCCTTTTACAGGGTATTATGAACCAAATTATTTCAAAGGGTAATGGGCACCAGTGGGCATCATCAACCCTGAAGTGAGGACACAGCAGGAAAGCACGCTGATGGGAAACCCAGTCACGTGTGTTAACAGGGCTATCTGGCTATATCCTGGAGAACACCATGTACTGGAAGCAACTGATGAAATCCCCTGACAGTTTCCATACCACTTCTGCCAGTAAAATTCACTATAAACAGGAAAGCAAGGTAGTCCTGTGATCGTATAAACACATATCATAAGAACTGTATATCAACGTTGCTTAGAAAGTATTAAGGGGCAAGGTATTTTGGTTCATGCCCACATCTGGGTCCTCCTTTTATGAAATGTACACTCCCCTTGAGGCCAGGAGCAGAGCCTCTATTTTCACTGTAATTTCCTACAACCACTTAGTAGCGGGCGTTCTGCCTACAAGGGCCACCCAATTGTTGTCGAAAGGCTGCTGTGAACATTTCACATACACATTAATGCCGGTTGTGATCTTTAATCACTGGCTTTCTCAAAGGTAATTAGAAACATAGAAACCTCTCCATAACACTGTTTATTATAAAGTAGAACTTGGAATAATAACTCTAACCAAGCGGTTTTAGAAGTAAACAAAAGGACCTTCATATTCTAAGACGGTTTCACTTACAAGCCAATCCTCCCAGGAGAGCTTCCTATCAGGGAATCAATCACAGGCTCCTTAAGGACAGGGAGTACGTCTTGCCCTTTGTGTCTTCCACCCAGCACGGCATTGGGCACACGGTGAGGTGCAATAAGCATCTGATGACCAAGCGCTCTGGACAAGGAGGTTTCAGGGCACAGGACAGAACTTTATACAGGTAGCTACATTATGCAGAGGGCTATTAATTTCTCATTTTACAAAATGGAAGGGGTAAGTTACCATGGAGACAATCAGAAATTCCTCCCAATGGAGCATGTCAACTGTTTCATCTTCAGTGTTGATGAGGGTCACTACATAGTCCTTATTATTAATAATCATTATTATGCTGAGATCAGTAAGGTCCTTGCTGGCTACAGTATCACATCAATAGTGCAAAATGTATACTGGCTTCTGTCTAAGAGTCTTATTTTACTTGTGTATGGACCCAGAGTATCATAACCAGGTAGATAAGTTCACAAAGAATAGTAAAAAAAAAATGCATATAACTTGCATATACAACAATCAGCTATTTCTTCTAGCTCAAGAAAATGTTTAAAACAAGGCTGGTGCTGCTAGTAGCATTCAGAAGAACACAAATTTCCTGCCCCTTACATTACAATGGGAGCTCTACAAGTCTTTACATTTCCTTGTGACTCTGGGGAGTCAGGGGTTCCTTACACTGGCTAAGAAAGAACCCAGCCTCTAATTCATAGATCACGGAAATGCAAATATACATTTGATCTGGTATAGTCATATACTATCTGCCCATAGTCTTTTAGGCACAATTATTAAGTTTTCTCCTAGGGGCAAAAGAAAGCATTCAGTGCAATGAAAAGATTCTTGATAGAATTAAGTTTCAGTAACAACAGCAAAATTATGCATACATAATACATACTTTAAACATGAATGAAACCTAAATTTTTAACATGCTTTAAAAATAGTCACTCTATGTCTAATGCAAATATGAATGGAGAACACTGCTATTTCTTTTAAGAGCAGATTAATTTGCAGGCTTCCACTTGAGTACCCTCGATTATGTAAGAATGTTACTCAAGCTAATCCAGATGCGAAGAAACCAACAGTTCTTTAGAGAAGCCAACTTTATGTACAATACACACTAAAAGCTTTTCCTTCAAAGGGAAGTAATACGTCCTTTGATCAACATTACTCCTTAAAGAAATCCTAGTGCAGTTAGTATTCTCTTCAGCTTTCTGGAGTCGGTCACCACAGGACTGTATTCATCAAAGCTCTTGAAACCCTTTTCAAGGTAGACTGAGCTACACGAAGGTTAAAATTATAAACCTTAATGACCGAATACCATTCAGAATAACAGGATTCTGGGAACTATGTTCCATATGAATGATTACATAAAAATCACCACCTACGTCAGGTCTTCTTAGCATAAAGCATAGTAACTGCAAAAAAATCTAGGCTGTTTTTGGTTGTAGGTTCCCTCTGTCCCACCACTTGTCTTTTTATTAGACCTCCCTGAAACTAGATAAATAAAAACATAATAGTAAAGTACTTTGGGACAGTAACAGATTCTGTTTAAGACTTCATGAGCAGAACAGTTATATTCTGTGAGAACAACGTAGTGCTTTAAAAGGTGCATTTTTACCTGTGTTGCTAAATTAGTTCATGAAGTATAAAACTATACACCACTGGAGTCCTGTTTCTAAAACATTAAAATCCTATTAAAAGAGCTTTGAAAAGATAAATCATAGTGATTGATACAGCATGAGAAAGGTGCACCAGGAAATCCTTCCCAAAAAATGCTGAAGGTTACAGGAGCTAAGTGCTGGGGTTAGATCAGACGCTTTATCAGAGAGCCACGATGGAACACATGCGGGGAAAGGGTGTCGGGAAACTTCACAAAAATCTTCTTTAAGTCAATAAAGAAGAGACATCAGGCAGTCCTGCAAAATGCTCAGTATGTAGTTTTCCTCCTAAGTGGATGAGTTTTAAACGGCATCATAGTTTGCATTTTTGGTTCTTTTCAATGCAGACATCATATTGCTGGAGTCGGTGCTCTGGGCTGCGGCTGGTCAGTACCGGTGGGCCTGGTGAGATGGGTGGTACTGCGTGCTCTGCTGGGACGAGGAGGAGTAGCCTAGTGTGCTCTGGGACTGAGAGGATCCCTGAACGCTGCTTTGGTAATTCAGGCGAGAACTGGAGTGCTAGGAGAAACAAACAAGACAAAGGAATTACTGGTGGAAGAAGAGAATGGCTCAGGATTAATCACAATAGGATGGAGAAATGAACCCTTTCTATCTGAGGCTCCTGGACCAGCTCCATGGGAGCTGACAGCTAACTTAGTTTGTTAATTAGTACATTCTGCTTATTTGAAGTCATAGCCTGCCACCACCGTAACCACATGTTCCGGCAGGCACGAAGTTTGGCTGGATTTCTTTGGGAGATAAGTTACTGGCAAAGAAAGGCAGAGGGGAAACTTATGACCCCCTGCTCTTTATGCTGACAAATTCTCGTTAGTTATTCTTTGGATAACTGACACTTGCAAACAAGAATAATCAATTTGGCATATTGAATCAATGGCATTCATAATGTACACTGAGAGGCTGTTAACATACTCATTATAAATAAGAAGGCTGTGATTAAGAAATCATTTTTAGGGGCCGGCCCTGTGGCCAAGAGGTTAAGTTCACATGCTCCGCTGCAGCAGCTCAGGGTTTCGCCGGTTTGGATCCTGGGCACGGACATGGCACCACTCATCAAGCCATGCTGAGGTGGCGTCCCACACACCACAACTGGAAGGACCCACAACTAAAAATTCACAATTATGTACCGGGAGGCTTTGGGGAGAAAAAGGAAAAATAAAATCTTAAAAAAAAAAAAAAAAGAAATCGTTTTTAGAGAGAAGAGCTTTCAGAGGTAGAAGCTAGAGTGGCATCAGCAGCACCACTCACCTGACAAAGCAGGACACGGCTGGGGGCGGGGCGGCAGAGGTGGGCTTCACAAACTTCAGGTAATATTTAGAATAGAAAATGCCCTCAAGAGAAGGCGGAGACAAATGCGTTTCAACTCCATGTATTTTATTACTTTAAGTGAAACATTCATCTTCATAGCACCAAGAGCAAATATGAAAAAGTATATAAAAGGAAAATTCGTCTCTAGAGTAAGAATATGGAGCCTGGTTAAATACAACTGGGACCCGTGTGTTTGGCTATGCTCAGAAGGCTGGTTCTTCCTGTGAGCCAAGTGGGAAAGCATACACATCACAAAACCATTACTTATAGTTAAAAATGTAAATGGCCTTGAGGTGGCACTAGGGGCTAAAGGAAGGACAAATCAGCAAGGTCCTCCTCTCCTGGACTTGCAAAATGTAGTCCAAGAAAACAGGGCAATAAGACTGTCTTGGTTAAAAACAGCGCCACTTCTCCCCCCTTCCTAAGTTATATAACCCTGACTAGCTGTGTTGGTGTAAGAAGCCTTTCAAAATTCCATATTCTAGCTACATGCTTTATTTTGAAATTTAGTATGAAAAAACGTTCTTTCCACTCAGAAGCCCTAAATTGTTAGGCGGGCTACGATTACTTTTACTTGAACAGAGTAGACTCAGCACAATAGCTCTTCCACACTAGATAAAGAACACACACGTCGATGATGTGCAAGTTGCACACTGGTACAAAGGGACTCCCTCACCCCGCCTCATGCTAGTCTCTCCACCTCAACAGCTGAGATATCTACCCATTTCATAGATATGCTGTTTTGTTTTTAAGTAGATAGCACAGTATGGACAAAGCATTTTGAAGAACTCCTGGATCTGAAAGGAGTAAATACAGCAGGTAAGTATTCTGTCCATGATGGACTATAATCAGGTTAATATAATACAATCACAGACACAAAGATGAGCTGGTATATAGTAATGACTTATTGCTCATATAATAGGAATAAACCAACATTAGGGGAAAAACTGAATGTATAATTAAATTTAAATATGTTCACGACTACCACCCAAAGAGCAAGCTGTTTTTAGTGGATCAAACTGAAGCCTTGATTAGTTTAATTGGAACCAAATGGAAGTGCTGTTATATACTCCTCTGCTCGCAGGGAATCTTCGAAGAGAAGTTTTCAGAACAGCAATTGTGTGAAAACACATTAGTTTGTTGAGATATTCAAAACGTAAAGCCAGTCGAGGCGGCTATTTCTCATGTCGTTTGGACCATGGTGCTAAACCTTTTTTTTTTTACCTTTTTTTCCTCTTCTTAGATCCTTTCTTAGCTTGTTGCTACCTTGAAAATGGTTTTCTTTTGCAAGATTCTCTAGATTTTTCACAAGTATTTTTACCACTCTCTCCAAATACCAATCCTGAGACTTTTTTAAATTTCTCAAATTAGTAGTAGAACTGTAGTTTTCTTTTGATCTTAATAACAAAAAGTACTTCCCAGTCTCAAAATTATTTCAAGTGAGATTTAACAGTTATTTCTGAGAAATCTCAATTTTAATCCCTTTCTCTTCTAAATTTATGTGGCTACTTACTGATTATTTCCTCCCAGTGCCAGCAAATCTTTCTGAAGTATGCAGCTAATTTTGTCCAAAATAAGCTGCCACTCCTCTCCTTTTTCAATTGCTTACCCAGGTATCTTTTTCTGACCCAAAGCTGATAGGCAGCTGTAAGGGCACAATGAGAAACTTCCTTTGAGGAGGAAGGTGTATCAGGATAAACAAATCAAGAGACGGAAATATCTCACAATTACATGAAATATGACAAAAATCTTCATTTTCATGTAATGCCCTAGAAACAAGATTGTACAAACTTCAGGGTTAAGTACTACTTAATTCTAAAAGGATCTATTATAAATCTACTTCCTATTTCATAATACGTGTGAAGGTGAAGAAGTACAAACTTCGGGGAGTACCTGATAATCCGACGGCATCACAGGCCCGCCTGAGTTGGCGCCAGAAGGCCCCAGCCGCGGTTTCTTGTTGGGAGGCACCTGGTTGAGGCTGGAGTCCTGACTGTGCTGCAGCCCTGCTCCGGCGCCCCCGGCCCCAGCCCCGGCCCCTCCTGCAGTCCCGTTGGTCTGGGTGCTGTTCTGCTGTGGTGGGGGCGCCTGTGGAGGGGCTGCTGCCTGCTGTGGAGGGGCTGTGGGCTGCTGATGTTGGTTCTGCTGTTGTTGCTGATTCTTGTAAGGAAAAACAAAAAGCAAGCTTGGTATGGAAATAAATGAACAGGAAATCTCTTTCATTACTTGATATGCACATGTGACTGCTGACCAACCTGGAGAGTGACCTATGCCGGACACCAAAGTGATGGGAATGACTAGAGGATGGAGCAGCCAGGGAATACAGCATCCCCAGAGGTCAAAGTACTGAGCCCTGAATAGGACTCATCCTCTGAAGCTCATTTAGATTGCAGACTAATCCTCCAAATCACACAGACATCCCACTGAAGACCATAAGCACACAGGAAATGGTTCTACATTCACTAAACCAGCTCTACTGGTCTTTTCGATTACGACTTTGGAAAAGTAGAGGAGTGTGGGGAGGGGCCTGATTATCCAATTATGATCAAAGGACAGAATGATGCTTTGAAAAGCAGCCTGCAGAAAGGGATGGTAATGACACTGAACAAACAGAAAGGACAAGAATTAAGAGTCAGAGAAGAAAACAGGCTATAAAACAAATCAGGAAGTTCATTTATCTGTAAGCTGATTATATTTTAAATTTCAAAGGACACCTACAATAAAGTGAATACATACTTGATTAAATAAAAGGCAGTTAAATACATAGGAATTATACTTCCCTAAATTCTCTCCCCGC